TATGGCCAACTGTTGGGCAGAGTGCAGGAAATCTTATGAAAGAAGTGGGAAACAGTAAGATCTGGAGAGGACAGGAACTCCACAAGGAGAGCAAGAGAGCCAGAAAATTTGAACACAGGAGTTTTTCCAGAGACTCATACTCTAACCAAGTACCATGCATGGAGATAACCTAGAACCCCTGCACAGATGTAGCCCATGGCAGTTCAGTGTCTAAGTGGGTTCCATAGTAATGGGAAGAGGGACTGCCTCTGACACAAACTGATTGGCCTGTTCTTTTATTACCTCCCCCTGATGGGGGAGCAGCCTTACCAGGCCACAGAAGATGACAATGCAGCCACTCCTGATGAGATCTGATAGACTAAGATCAGAAGGAAGGAGAGGAGGACCTCCCCTATCAGTGGACTTGGGGAGGGGCATGCATGAAGAAGGAGGAGGGAAGGTGGGATTAGGAGGGGAGGAGGGAGGGGTTTATGGGGGGGATATAAAGTGAATAAAGTGTAATTAACAAAAGTTAAAAAAATTAAAAAAATTAACGTTAGGTAAATGACCTCAGTTCATATTAGTATTTTTTATGTGTTTTTGTGATTCCATTTATATTACTGTAGTATTACATTTCAATGCTGAGAATTTTAGGACATGTTAGTAAATGCAGATTCAGGCTTCATGAAATACTCTCTGCTGTTACATGCTGATGAGACTCAATCACTTTTTCTCTTATGAGAAGGTTTGGTTAAAAATACTTTGAGAAGGCTCTGAGTTTGGTTCCCAGAACCCATTCTGGAAATGAGGGTTGAAGGGTGGTGCCTGTAACCACTGTAACTCCAGTCTGAAGATATCCAATGGCATCTTCAGGGCTTATTGGGCACCTAAAAACAGGTGACATTCTATCTTTCTCATACATAAAAAAATAAATCCCCCCAAATTGTAACTGAATTTAGAGTAAATTCAAAAACTACTTGCCATAATGATGTTAAAGCACGATTTTACATCACTTATTTATAAAATTAGATGCACATATCTAATTTTAAATTAAATAGCAGGTGGGTCATCAGTATAATTTTATTAGTTATTTGTTATTACTTTATGAAGTTTGAGTTATACAATTTGTAAAGCTGGCCTTTAGCTTTACCAACTGTTTATGAGCAAGAGAAATAATCAAGTCAAAGAAATCAATCTTCAGTTCTGTCTCACTTTCAATTTACCCTTTTGATCTTTTGTTTTATGAGGCAGTTTTTACCTGCACAAATCTCAGAAGGAGTGCTTTTGCAACTGGGTAGGAACCTCGAGCTTTGATGTTCTGGACTTTGCACCTTTACTGTAGTCAAGCTGATCTTCAGAACGGAAATGGAATCATGTTTTTCTCAGGGTGACAACATTTCCATTATCTTTTATTGCTCTTCCTCCAGCCCACCAAGTAGGTCTCTATTCCCTCTGCCTACCATTTCAGCTGTATCTTTATTCCCCATGATCCAATAAAAGACTTTAGAAACCCATCCATTATGTCTGCTTTTGAACAGTATTCAATATCTTTGAATGATAATTACAAGGTGTGAAATATTTTTTTAACATCTAGTCGACAATCTTCTGTTCATCTCTCCTCCCCAACCAACTTTCTTGATGTTTAACTTAAAAGAAAATTATATATATTTGATTGTACAAAACTGTCTTTTGATATACATAGTGAAAGAGAACTGTATGTTATAGAGATGTTAATTAACATAGCTACTAACTCCACCATTACTTTGCTATAGTGGGAGCACTTCAGATCTATGCTCTCAGCATTTTTGACCATACAGTGTAAAATCAGGAGCTAAGGTCACTAAGCCACAGACTAGAACTCTAGGACACTCAACTTTCCTACTCAACTTTCAACACAAAATTCATTTCTTGTCCCAGGAAGACTTCTTGGGCTGTTGTTTGTTTCCACTTTTACACCAACAAATTGCTGTAGATGTAGATATAAATGCATAAATTGTTACGGAGAAGCAGAAATAGATATCATTATATGTCATTCATGTGTTGTGTTACAATATTTGTTTTCACAACCCTCTCTTCTACTGGGTGGTGGTAGCCTAGAAATCTGTAGTTGTGTATTGTTCATCTTACTTTACTCCCCCAGCAGCACATACTATGTTTTCTGACTAGTGCTTGATGCCTTTATGCAGATAATTTACTCAGTTTTATTTCTCTACCAGCATAGTGTGACTCTTGACAATAATTTAAAAAAGTGCATAGGTCTTCTTATTTAAATAGTTTAAAAATATACAAAACTTAGTTCAGCAAGGCTTCATGGTACACACTAATTCTAAAATAGAATGAATTGATCTAGGAGTAGAATGAGATTCATTTCACCATCAGCAGCGAAAAGAGAAAGAGAATGAGGGAGCCAGATGAGGTGGGAAAACTGCCCAGATAGGCTTCCTCATGGTCCGCTGGGTGCTTCAGGACAAGTCTCAGTCTACAGAACAGAATCCAAATCCTATCCCACAGAATCCAAAAGCCCAAAGCCACCACCAACTCCTGGGGAGAAAATGGGAGTGGATTTATTTATGTTGTGGGAAAGTGACTGGGTGGAGGAAAACAGTTTACCAGTACAGCACTACAAGGGACAAAATACTGACAGAAGACAGACAAAGAGCTTTAAGGTGACTTAGGCATTCTCTATATCATCTGGATTAATGGATGGGGAAATACGAGCAACAGTAAATATGCTCCACTGTATACAGGAACTTCACCAGCTAACAACCATGCTTGGCGATCACTCCCCCCCCCCCCCCCCCCCCCCCCCCCCCCCCCCCCCCCC